GAAAATCGTCGGAGGTCTTATACCTCTTGACGTGGGCACGAGCCTGAAATCCCAATTTCAGCCCTCGAAACATCTCATATGTTTCGCGACGTTTCAAAACGTCTTCGATGCCTCAACTCTAAGCCGTTTAACTGAACTATCACGTAGTTATCAAAATGTGTATGTCAGATGTTCGCAACATCCATAGACAACGTTCGAGGTTCAGCACACCGAGCGGTGCATTAAGGACATAAGCCTTCTATGAAGCAATGAGGACAAACCTCAGTTTACGGACCTAGTCCGCATAATTGCTACTATCAACTTTCAACTAATTTTTCTCTAGGAACATATCTAAACAGTAGAACTGAAACGCGAGCTACGACATAATTTGCGAAGACCTTTTGACTATGTTCAGGATAATTAAGTTCATCTTATGAACTCCCACTCAGATAGACATCCCTCCAGTCATCTAAGTGATTACATGATCCGAGTCAACTAGGCCGTGTTCGATCATCACGTGAGACGGACTAGTCAACATCGGTGAACATCTTCATGTTGATCGTATCTACCATACGACTCATGCTCGACCTTTCGGTCTCTTGTGTTCCAAGGCCATGTCTATACATGCTAGGCTCGTCAAGTCAACCTAAGTGTTTTGCATGTGTTCCGAGGCCATGTCTGTACATGCTAGGCTCGTCAACACCCGTTGTATTCGAACGTAAGAATCTATCACACCCGATCATCACGTGGTGCTTCGAAACGATGAACTTTCGCAACGGTGCACAGTTAGGGGGAACACTTTCTTGAAATTTTAATGAGGGATCATCTAATTTACTACCGTCGTTCTAAGTAAACAAGATGCAAAAACATGATAAACATCACATGCAATCAAATAATAGTGACATGATATGGCCAATATCATATAGCTCCTTTGATCTCCATCTTGGGGCTCCATGATCATCTTGTCACCGGCATGACACCATGATATCCATCATCATGATCTCTATCATCGTGTCTTCATGAAGTTGTCTCGTCAAGTATTACTTCTACTACTACAGCTAATGGTTAGCAATAAAGTAAAGTAATTACATGACGTTTATGTTGACACGCAGGTCATAAATAAATTAAGACAACTCCTACGGCTCCTGCCGGTTGTCATACTCATCGACATGCAAGTCGTGATTCCTATTACAAGAACATGATCAATCTCATACATCACATATATCATTCATCACATCCTTTTGGACATATCACATCACATGGCATACCCTGCAAAAACAAGTTAGACGTCCTCTAATTGTTGTTTGCTTGTTTTACGTGGCTGCTATGGGTTTCTAGCAAGAACATTTCTTACCTACGCAAAGACCACAACGTGATATGCCAATTTATATTTACCCTTCATAAGGACCCTTTTCATCGAATCCGATCCGACTAAAGTGGGAGAGACAGACACCCGCCAGCCACCTTATGCAACTAGTGCATGTCAGTCGGTGGAACCCGTCTCACGTAAGCGTACGTGTAAGGTTGGTCCGGGCCGCTTCATCCCACGATGCCGCCGAATCAAGATAAGACTAGTAACGGCAAGCATATTGAACAAAATCAACGCCCACAACTACTTTGTGTTCTACTCGTGCATAGAAACTACGCATAGACCTAGCTCATGATGCCACTGTTGGGGAACGTAGCATAAATTCAAAATTTTCCTACGTGTCACCAAGATCTATCTATGGAGTCATCTAGCAACGAGGGAGGAGTGGATCTACATACCCTTGTAGATCGCGCGCGGAAGCGTTCAAGAGAACGGGGTTGATGGAGTCGTACTCGTCATGATCCAAATCACCGATGATCCTAGCGCCGAACGGACGGCACCTCCGCGTTCAACACACGTACGGAGCAGTGACGTCTCCTCCTTCTTGATCCAGCAAGGGGGGAGGAGAAGTTGATGGAGATCCAGCAGCACGACGGCGTGGTGGTGGAAGTAGCGGGATTCCAACAGGGCTTCGCCAAGCGCTGCGGGAGGAGGGAGATGTGTCATGGGAGGGAGAGGGAGGCGCCAGGGCTTAGGTTTGGTTGCCCTCCCTTCCCCCCACTATATATAGGGCCAAGGGAGAGGGGGGAGGCACAGCCTTGGACCTTCCTCCAAGGAAGGGTGCGGCCAGGGAGGAGTCCCTCCTCCCCAAGGCACCTCGGAGGTGCCTTCCCCTTTTAGGACTCTTCCTTTTCCTCTTCTCTTGGCGCATGGGCCTCTTGGGGCTGGTGCCCTTGGCCCATATAGGCCAAGGCGCACCCCTACAGCTCATGTGCCCCCCCCGGGGCAGGTGGCCCCACCCGGTGGACCCCCGGGACCCTTCCGGTGGTCCCGGTACAATACCGGTGACCCCGAAACTTGTCCCGATGGCCGAAATAGGACTTCCTATATATAATTCTTTACCTCCGGACCATTCCGGAACTCCTCCTGACGTCCGGGATCTCATCCGGGACTCCGAACAACTTTTGGGTTACCGCATACTAATATCTCTATAACCCTAGCGTCACCGAACCTTAAGTGTGTAGACCCTACGGGTTCGGGAGACATGCAGACATGACCGAGATGACTCTCCGGTCAATAACCAACAGCGGGATCTGGATACCCATGTTGGCTCCCATATGTTCCACGATGATCTCATCGGATGAACCACGATGTCAAGGACTTAATCAATCCCGTATACAATTCCCTTTGTCTAGCGGTACGATACTTGCCCGAGATTCGATCGTCGGTATCCCGATACCTTGTTCAATCTCGCTACCGACAAGTCTCTTTACTCATTTCGTAACACATCATCCCGTGATCAACTCCTTGATCACATTGTGCACATTATGATGATGTCCTACCGAGTGGGCCCAGAGATACCTCTCCGTTTACACGGAGTGACAAATCCCAGTCTCGATTCGTGCCAACCCAATAGACACTTTCGGAGATACCTATAGTGTACCTTTATAGCCACCCAGTTACGTTGTGACGTTTGGCACACCCAAAGCACTCCTACGGTATCCGGGAGTTGCACAATCTCATGGTCTAAGGAAATGATACTTGACATTAGAAAAGCTTTAGCATACGAACTACACGATCTTTGTGCTAGGCTTAGGATTGGGTCTTGTCCATCACATCATTCTCCCAATGATGTGATCCCGTTATCAACGACATCCAATGTCCATGGTCAGGAAACCGTAACCATCTATTGATCAACGAGCTAGTCAACTAGAGGCTTACTAGGGACATGGTGTTGTCTATGTATCCACACATGTATCTGAGTTTCCTATCAATACAATTCTAGCATGGATAATAAACGATTATCATGAACAAGGAAATATAATAATAACCAATTTATTATTGCCTCTAGGGCATATTTCCAACAGCCGGGTGTACGGCGCCGTGGCCGCGGCGTGGTCTGAGGCCCTTGCTGCGGCCCGCACCTGCCGTGGTGTGAGGGCAGGCGGCGTCTGGCTGCGTCGCCCGTGCCCCGCAGCGCCTTGCGGAGCGCGAGCTGCCTGAGGCGCAAGGTTGAGGTCGCCCTGGGCTGGTGCTACAGCGTGGGCGGGCCACGCTTCCCAGTGGTCGGCATTGGCTGCTGGGTCAGTTGACATCTGAACGGCGAAGCGACGGAACACGATGCGGATGAAGAAGGATTCCGGCGCACCCCTACTTAGCGCGCCAAATGTCGGATTTCAGGTTCCGGCAGACCCTTGAGGTTCAAACACTAGGGTGCGCGTGGAGATCTCTCCCCTACTGATCTGCGTCCAATCTCCTCGCGTGATTTGAGCTGGAAACAATGAACAACACAAGGGACACAAGGTTTATACTGGTTCGGGCCACCGTTGTGGTGTAACACCCTACTCCAGTGTGTGGTGTGGTGGATTGCCTCAGGGGCTGATGAGGATCAGTACAAAGGAAGAACAACCTTGCGAGAGGTGTTCCTGAGCTGGGGTGGGTTCAGTTGCCTCTCTTTCTCTCTGCTAGGGTTCTACCAGATTTCCCGCCGTACCCCTACTCTGTGGTGGCTAGATCTATTTATAGAGGCCCTGGGCCTCTCCCCAAATAATGAGCGGGAAGGGCGCCAACAATTGGCCATTTTGAAGGGGAACTGGTAGTATAAGTTATCCTGGCCAAAGGTGGTCTTCGGCTGCCAAAAGTACTGGTGATGACGCCGTCTTGGGCTCCACGGTGACCTCCGTCCTGCCGCTCTGCTGGTCTTGGTCTCATTGCACCGGAATGTCAACCTTTGCCTGATGCCTTGACCTGTGCTTGCCCTCTTTGCACCAAAGGGGAAACAAGGACACTACGCAGGCCGGCGCCCGCCTGGCGCCCGCCTGCTCTCGATCGTCATGGCTTGCGTCACGGGTTCCTTGTGAGGTACCCCTACCTTGATCTCTCCGCCTCCTCGCGAGCCTGCCTGATGGGGCTGCCTCTGAGGAAGCTTCCTATCGTCCGCCCCGCGAGGCTTGGCCCCTCACGACGGTGTTGAGCTTGAGCTGATGAAGATGGGCCGCGCTGGGCCCCCACTTGAGCCATGCCGCAGGCAGGCAAGTATGGGGACCCCCGTTCCTAGAACGCCGACAATTTCTTCCCTTGAAAAGACCATCTTATTTCATATAATGCTGCATGATCATGAGTTAGCACAACAGAATATGATAAATTATAATTTTATTTTGCAAGGTAAATATTGGTGCTTATGGTACATTGGTTCATACTAACGTAAATAATCTTAGGCTTTGTTTATGGTTGCTGGACTATGTTGTGCTGAGCTTGGAGCCATGGCAAAAGCTGGTTCGAAAAGCTGGATTATCATAATGCACCTCTATGCCAAACCCAGAGAAAGCACAAAACAGTCAGATATCGTGACACCTAACCTACAGATCAAGCAACCCTTGTGAAGAACAAATCCAGCATGTGAAATAACACTTCATACAATTCGACAAAACCTACACTGAATGTGCACGTAGGGTCCCAAACCAAAAGAATAGGGTTTGGAAGATAGATGGACCTTCCTTGTCGACCATATCCACATCTATCAGCAGCTCCTCGACGAGGTACTTGCACACCTGCAGACTACATCTACTGGCCGCGATGTGCAGTGCGCTGAAACCTAGCTTCAAGCTTCACATCATCTTCCACCCTCAACTCCTCAATCGCCTCCTTGGGACGGCCCCTGCCCATATCCAGCATCATGACCAGAGCAGTGGATTGGGCCTCCAAAATGTTAGCAATCGAGCAACCAAACTGGGTCAGGGTCGGAATGCGGGACGGGGGAGTGGGCAGCGTACCCTTGAAGTGGGGAGGTTGTCGTTGGAGGCCGCCTGGAATGGGCGAGGCGCCCTCGTCACAACAGTGTTGTTTCACCCACTCCCATTTCAACCATTGAAATAGGGCGTGTTTGGCGGGCCGTGGCAGCCGGCCCGGCTAGCTAAGCCTGGCTCACATGAGGCATCATCTGCAATCGGTTGCCCACATTTACTTCTCATGTATTTGTCTCAAAAAAATTACTTCTCATGTACTCCCTCCGTCTCATAATGTAAGACGTTTTTTGACACTACAATATTGTCAAAAAACGTCCTACATTATGAGACAGAGGGAGTATTATATTAGGGGATAGATAGGCGCACACGTTTGGTTGCCCCGCATTGTCTGAACTCACACATAAGCACACTGTTTGGTTGCATGCAATCATTGTTGTCTGATAACCTCTTCGGCGCTGTGGTGAGGTTACCAGCACACAACGGTGTCAGGAAGAACACACACAACAAACATAGTAGCAAGCATAAATATTGTGCCACACATAAGCACATAAGTTCAAACATAGTACTAAGAAGTTCAATATTAAACTAAAGCAGCTTGAGCATATGATAGCCTGTCCTAGGCATTCACGGCGAAGGCGTTGTCGCGCCTGCCGCATTTGGTCACCACTTCAATGCCATCATCATTGAAGACGATGGCCTTCAGCATGTCAGTCGGCAGCTTGAAGGTCACCATGAAGCCTATCTTGATATGATGGACGGTAGCAAAGGTGGACCAACCCTGATCGAGGGTGACCATGTCGTCCAATAGTCGGATAGTGACCCTTCAGGAGCAGCCGGTGTTTGTCTTTAGTATGAACTCTTGTGGCACGAACGGGAACTACTTCGTGAAGTCCATGACATAGGTATGGCCTCGAGCTGGGGGGCCATGATCACCTTGCGGAAGGTGGTTGGCCTCCCACATCATGGTAGTGGCTGTAGTTGCGACCCTTGCTGCTCGGAAGCTCCTCCCGCATGTTGTCATCCATGGCTGGGCTTTGGACGGGCGACACCTCTGAGGGCGGCACCGCGTCCTTGCCCTTGTCCTGCTCCTTCGATGGCACCGCCTCCTTTGCCTTGTTCTCTGTGTCAGTCTGCATTATGGAGAGGTTCAGAGGCTGGGTCAAGAAGTGCATTATGAACCTTGTAACATCGCCATTAAAACCTATGCTCATGCTCCCCTTTATTTACCCATCATGAAGGTCACCACTTACCCACCAGCTCTCTATCTCTCACTCTTCCGCCAACCCAACGCCATGAACCCCAACAACAAGTCAAACCGCAACCCCAACCCCAACCCCTTCCCTTGGAGCATCAGATGGAGGGCTTTCATTCTAGGGTGCTCGCTGGGTGACCACACCAAGTCTGGGAACACCATGGAAGTGTGCTCAAACTTCAGCGGCATGGAAGATCTGTACTACGAGGTAGACGCTGTGGTGAAGAAGGCCACACCGGAGGAGTTGAAGACACTGATTCCCGACCCAGCGAAGGGCGCTATGTCAGTCGACATACTTCGCTGGGCCATTCAGGCTGACTCCGGCTGTAGGTGTACTAAAGTTTGGGCCCTCTAGTACCCCATACTTGTGCACGGGCAGTTGCGGCCGTACCAGCGGCAAGGCCTGACGGGGACAATTAGAAGCAAAAATGAGACGACTCTAGGATCGAAAGTATGTATAGAGGGGGGGGGATAATTAGACTACTTGACCAAATAAAAATCTAGCCTTTTCCCAATTTTAAGTTTTGGCAGATTTTAACAACTTAGCACAAGTCAAGCAATCAACCTACACATGCAAGTCTAAGAGTATAGCAGCGGAATGTAAAACGTTGCATATGAAGGTAAAGGGAGGAGATTGGAGGGAGCAAACGCAATGTAGACACAGAGATTTTTGGCGTGGTTCCGATAGGTGGTGCTATCGTACATCCACGTTGATGGACACTTCAACCCACGAAGGGTAACAGTTGCGCGAGTCCACGGAGGGCTCCACCCACGAAGGGTCCACGAAGAAGCAACCTTGTCTATCCCACCATGGCCATCACCCACGAAGGACTTGCCTCACTAGGGTAGATCTTCACGAAGTAGGCGATCTCCTTGCCCTTACAAACTCCTTGGTTCAACTCCACAATCTTGTCGGAGGCTCGCAGGTGACACCTAACCAATCTAGGAGACACCACTCTCCAAAAGGTAATAGATGGTATGTTGATGATGAACTCCTTTGCTCTTGTGCTTCAAATGATAGTCCCCCAACACTAAACTCTCTCTCACAGATTTGGATTTGGTGGAAAGATGATTTGAGTGGAAAGCAATTTGGGGAAGGCTAGAGATCAAGATTCTTGTGGTTGGAATGCAATTTCTTGGTCTCAACACATGAGTAGGTGGTTCTCTCTCAGAAAATGTATGTTGGAAGTGTAGGCACGTTCTGATGGCTCTCCTTACTAATGAAGGAAGGGTAGAGGGGTATATATAGCCTCCACACAAAATCTAACCGTTACACACAAATCGCCAAACTCGATGGGACCGAATCATGAAACTCGGTTAGACCGATTTAGTTCAAAATGTTAACGTTAGGATTTTCGGTGGACCGACATGTCAACTTGGTGGGACCGATTTGATTAGGGTTAGGGCATAACGTAATCTCGGTGAGACCGGTCACATAAACTCAGTAGGACTGATTTCTGTAATAGGCAAACAGAGAGTTGGTCAGGCAAACTCGGTGGGACCGATTCGCTCATTTCGGTGAGACCGAAGTGTTACGGAAGGGAAACAGAGAGTTTGCATTGCGAACTCGGTGGGACCAATCGCTCATCTCGGTTGGACTGAAACGTTACGAAGGGAAACAGAGAGTTTGCAATCCCATCTTGGTGAGACCGCGATCCCTATCGGTGAGATCGAAGTGACTAGGGTTTCTGGCAGTGGCTATGTCAAGTGAACTCGGCGACGCCGGAAAGATCAAATCGGTAGGGCCGAGTTTGACTTTTGGTTTGGGACATATGTGGATATGAGAAAGTGGTTGAGGGCTTTTGGAGCATATCACTAAGCATTTTGAGCAAGCAAGCCATTAAGCAACACCTCATCCTCTTTTAATAATATTGGCTTTTCCTATGGACTCAATGTGATCTTGGATCACTAAAATGAAAATGTAGAGTCTTGAGCTTGAGCCAATATGTGTCCTTAGCATTTTGAGGGGTCCACATTCCTAATCCATGCCATGCCAAACGTTGAACTTTTTGAAATGATCATCTTAAAATAGCATTAGTTTAATGAGCTATATGTTGTTAGGAATTACCAAAACCACCCAGGGATAGTTGCACTTTCAATCTCCCCCTTTTTGGTAATTCATGACAACATATAGATCAAACCTTCAACAAATGATAATAAGATTTAAAGTACATCGTCACTTTGCGAAGTATGTGATAAGCAAGAGCTTCCCCTAAATTTGTGCATTATTTAAGATTTTCTTTTGAATGCAAATGCACAATCGATTAGTATCATGGGCCACTCTTCCATGTCAAATACATCTTGGTGGAGCACTCAAAATGATAGGAATTAAAACATGCACTCATCACCAAGCAAAGTGAATGATCATATATGAGATATAAAAGATAATATCATCCAAGCATAAGCATTAAGGTAGGACATGATCATACAAGTATCTCACACACAGACATAAAGTAACAGACGAGCACACACAAAAGTATCAAGCAAATAGCAAGAAAGACAAAGAAGCAAAGCACTCTCTCTCGAAGCCTAAGATCTATACATTTCCCCCTTTGGCAACAAGTTACCAAAAAGTTTGAAAATGCATAGTGCTATGTGTCTCTCTAGGCTTGATCTTCGGGAGGTGGTGTATAAAGGACTCCAAGGACAAAGGCATCAGTAGATGTTGTTGGAGCTGGTGGAGTGGCAATTGGAGATGGCACTGAAGCTGTTGCTGCTGGTGCTGAATTAGTTGTTCTAGTGTCAGGCGCTGGCACTGCAGCAGATCTCTGACCTCTGGGCACTCTCTGAAAAGCATCGGTAGTAGCCTTCCCTTTCTTCTCCTCTGCTTCCTCTTGGAGCTGCTCAACAGTTGTCTGCATCTCAGTTACTTTAAGATCAAGATCATAAAATTTGGTCTCTATAGTCCTCTCCAAGCTCTCCTAATTCTTGTTAAGGGTGGCCGAGCCCTTCTCAATCCTCAAAGTTGTCCAAGCCCTTCTCAATCCTCAAAGTTGCTTGAATTAGATATGCAAGCTGATCTTGTTTTGACTTCAGAAAAACTTGAGATGCCTCCTCAACACTTGGCACCTTTGCGGCCTTCTCAGCCTTTGCCTTTGCTCTCTTCTCATGTGCTTGCATAGATGTGGGATCATCCTCATTCATCACAACTGTGTTATCTTCAAATTCTGGTCTCAAAGGTAAATGCTCCTTGTCCAACAAATAAGTGCATGTGCCCATCTTGGAGTTGATGAGCACCTGAATGTGTGGAGCATACCCACAAGATCTCTTTTGATCAGCAGCTATCCTCTTGATTGTCACAACAATCAGACTCATGACCTTGAATTTTTGAGGAACATCAAATATCTGCAGCAAGTTGATTGAATGGCCTCTAATCATCTTGTGATCTTTAGATTTGGGAAACAATGTATGCCTCAATATAGTGTTGATTGTAACTAGACCAGACAACAAGTAATGTACAAATCCAAGCTTATGTGTTTCCAAAGCTTTGTCTGGGATCTCTTTGTACATG